TCTTGTTACACACTTTGTGTGTGCGAGATGAAAAGGAATTTTGTCTTGAAAGCAACGTAACACCGCCTTTTTTGAATTACTTGGATAGACAATGCTTTAAATGGCGGGTGTCGTTGATGAAGCAGAAGACGCTTACTCTTCCGGAACACCTGGTCTTATATTTTTCAAGAAAATCTTTCTTTTGTTCATGTTTTGCCTTGGATTTATGAAATTTGAGTTGGAATTAAGAGTATGTTGCCATGTTGGTATTTTCTAAATGTTTTTTCGACGTTTCAAAATCTTCAAAATGAAGTTTTGGTTTAGTGGTTTTTTTTCCTAACCCACTAATTATCTGTATATGTTATAGTTAGTCCTGACTGTTGATTTGCTGATTTTACATGTCTCAGACTATGGACTACATTTGTTCTTTTATTGAACACGTATATTTCGGAGTTTAGTTACTGTCGATTACTAGTAATTTTTGACATTGAATTACACTTGTCAGTATCTGTCCATAAGCAATTTCTGCAGAGGTCCTGCTATGAATACCTTAGTGCTTATATTCTGCTAGTGGATGTGCTAGGTGGCAGTTTCTACATGATCATTGTGATGTTTAGAATTGCACATTTCACTGACAATGACGTCACTGTTTTCTGTTTTAAATGCTGAAGTATTTAATTATTTGAGTATTTCTGCTTGTATTTGTGCGTTTTCAGCTGTTGTGATAAACATTCTCGAATTGATTAAGGAGTGTTACATACGTCCATGCTAATAGACCACTTTTGGAAATATATTTGATACTCTATAAAATCAGTTTATTTTCGTGTGGGTTTTGTTTTCATAAATTTATATCAACGGAATAATTAACATGTAGAAATTGAGATGGATTATATTACTAGCGGATATTGTGATTTTCTACAAAATCAAGTACTAACGAAAATGCATATTTTTATAAAACCATGATATTTTAGCCCAACGAAAATATCTTAAAATAGAACAATACATAAATTGTACCTTAGAAATGCATACAAAAGAATATAGATAAATTAAAAAGTAAATTACTGATATATTAGTCAAAAAGAAAAGTCACAAGAAAGCTTTACTGTTTACATAAGTGAATAAAGTAAACCTAAAACCTCTTTATTGTGTATAAGTAATTGTGATCAACATATCAGGGGTTAATAAACGGATACCACCGATGACTGGGTTTAACATGTCACATGATATGAAACTCGTAGTACTTGTTTCCGAACAAGTACACGACTTTGACGTAGGAAGATATGAGGTCCTTATAAGGTGTTTCATTTTCTCCTCGACAACCCTTGTCAGGAGAAGTTGCTGCTCCTGTAAAATAGTGATGAAGTGATTAAGATTTAATGTATTTCCTGTACGTATGTTGGTGAAAACCAAATAAATTGTTCAATTTCGGACACAGGGGTACAGTGTAGAGAAATATCACCTATATCGTTTACAGTCTCATCACTTGACAGACTATGTCGAACACCTCAAATGTTTTCTTTATTTCTAACAAGTATTTTTTTTAATTCATTCTTCAACAATATGATTGTTACAGATAACAACTAAAATTGTTTGTAACAAATGTTATATCATTAGTTAATTCCTATCTCATAACTGATTAGAAATTATCAAATCTGTATACGATAGAGAAAATATTTTAAACTTTAGGTGAAAATGTCGAGTTTACAATAAATGTCTATTAATGACGAATTGATTTGTACAATTATAAGAATAACAAAAAAAACTGCGAAGGTTCTGCAGAATAATTTATTCAAATTCAAGCATGGCAAAGTATAACAAAAACGTAGAAACCCATGAAAAAGTGCCAGGAGAATAAGACGTTCCAGTAGAGTAAGCGTCTTCTGCTTCATTGACAATACCAGCTATGTGAACCCTGGTCAATCCAAAAGTAAGTAATGTATCGTTCTCAAATGAGAGCAAGGTATAAAATAAATGAAGTAACGGGCAATCTGGATCTTTCAAAACTCTGCCTCGTGGGTTTCACACGTTAGGCACTTAACATCACTGACGTGACGTATTGAAATATACTATTCAATAAAGGTGTCTTTTGAACAATTCTTTCAGCATCAACAGTATATTTAAAAAACACTCGATACATACTGGGAAAATCAAAACCTAAAATATGATTAGGCGTCACAATTGCCATCGTTTGAACTTTCATCATTTTGCTAATTTGCTAATTGAGTTCGTTGTAGAAGATCTTGTAATGAAAATAAACTGTTTTTGTTACCTTCCATACTTGACTCATTAGATAAACATAGTTTCTTCAGATATTGTGTTTGACTCGCATAATATCAGAACTTTCTTAGTCATGAATGTGTTTTATCTAAAGATCACTATTTATAGTGTGTATATATCATGTAACCATCCCTTTTATTATCGATTATGATATTAAATCCACACGTGAAGATTTATATGACAGGTAGGTAGGACTTTACCCTTGTCTGCAAACATTATGATAGTTCCTGTTTACAAAAAGACCTGGACTTGCTTGATAACGAAGAAACCCCATCTACACATTTTGAATCTTTTCAAAAGACGAAATACTGACTTATCATGTTTCGGTGATATAATCATATAGATTGCCTATTCATGATAAGGATATGGACCTCCCCCATTTATATTTGATTTCCAAACTTCACGAGAATACATATAAACAACGTTTTTCGCTGGCTCGTCTAACTGTTTAACCAAGCCTTTGTCTAAACTACTAATCACCATTCTAAGTAATATCAAATATTGGTTACAATCTGATATTGATACTGTTTACTCAAAAAGTACAATTGTATGTGGATTTTCCTTTCCTAAAAACATTTCTTCTATAAGAATATATTATTTTTCACCCTTTGCACCACCATACCCCATTTTAAGCTGAAGGAACGCCTTCGTCTATTGTTATGAGAGTTCTCCAAGAACGGTGAACGGTGGCATAAATATATAGTTGTGAACGATACTGAAGTGTGTTTCGTCAAAACATTGTGAAGAAATTCGTCAAAATCAAAGAAGAGATATACGGAGGACGAAGTCCTCAAAATGATAGCGTTTCTGATTCATAACGTCTTCGTCGAGTTTGGAGGTAAGATCTCCCAACAGATTATTGGCATACCTTTGCGAACTAACTGCGCCCCTCTGTTGGCTGATTTGTTTCTTTTTCATTTGAGGTTGAATTTATTGAAGAGTTCGTCAAAACAGATCACAGCAAACTGTATGATAGACGTGATGATTTCATTTTCTCTATTGTTATTTTTCCATTTCTGGATAGAAATATCCCTTAATCCTCAACCTATGGCGTTTACATGTCGCAGTAGATTCGATATTCAAGGGCCTCTTCTCATTATCACAATTTTCACAAGAAGTCGGATAAATTCGTAACACAAGGTTTCAAAAGATGCAGGTCAATAGATGTTATAGGGAAGTTTTATGGCCGCCATAGTGATCTCAATAAGAAATGTTCTGTATCTTTGCCATTAGCGTGTTTGATGCTCGTGACTCTGCCTGTTGGTTCCGTTGTTGTTTACCTTATTCTCATTTGAGAATATGACATTACTTACTTGGATTGACTAAGGTTTGCATGGTGGATGTCATCGATGAAGCTTAAGAAGCTAACTCTTACAGATCATCTGGTCTTATTCTCCTTTAATTTTTCAGGTGTCTCCGTGTAATTCTTTCTTTTGCTCATATGAAAGATTTACACGGAGACTTCTTAATTAGATTCAGGAGAAAAAGACCAGGTGTTCCGGAAGAATTAGTGAACGTCAAATCACACCTAAGAACGCTGGGTTATTGATTAATTAATTAATTATTAATTAATAATAAATTAACTATTTAAAAATATCGTGAAGAACCAAACATATGCAAACAATTCAATGTTTATCAACACGTCAAGGCCTTTGTCAGTATCCATCCGGTCAAACAAAGGTAAAAAAATTTAATATATACATAGGTATCATAACATGCTTTATTATTACACGTGTTGTCAATGGTAAATTAAGTACAAAAATGGGGCAAAGCCACAATTGGCCATGTTGCGGGATGAGTGCAATGTTCAACGTATATATAAACATCCTACAAAGTTTCAAGCTTCTACGTCAAAAACTCTAGGAGTTGATTCAACACAACTGGTACCCCTTTTCCCCGCCCGCCCGCCCGCCTGCCCCACAATCACCATACTATAACCCAGATTTGCACTATGTGCAACCCGGCCAATTATAGGGCTATTTCCTTATTGGTTTCCACGTACCGGAAGTGACGTTAAATAACAACACAAGGCTATCCTTCGCTAAATTCCACTTCAAGTATATCAAAAGAACCAAAAATTATTTTACACATCCTGTTGTACGTTTCATTATGAGATTTGACCTTTTAAATCCATGTTTAAATGGCGTAAAGGACTTTAATCAATGAGTGGAAAATGACGAACACATCGTATGTACGATACGATGCAGTCAAATACCGACATATCATTATAACCTTAATCCAAACTCAAATCTGATGACAGCAGAGCAAAACATGAATACAGACAAGATTTACACGGAGGCCCAATGCAAAAACACAAGGAGAGATACCTAATATTCCGTTTCGGAAGGGTGAGCGCCTTCCTCTTAAACGACTACTTTATAAATCTTGTTCAATCAAAGTAATCATATTGAGAGCAGTGTCAGCATCAACAGAGCAAAACAGCCTATAAAAACAGAGTGATCATTACTGGTTTGTTTAATACTTTTTGTCAAGTTCAATCGATCCCCTCAGGATCATCTATACTTCTGTTACAATGAATTTACCTACAAAATATCCCTTCTGCCTTTTACAGTCCCATCTGAAACCAAAGTATTGGCATCTAGTCTTGAAAATGAAGACCAACTAAAACTTCAATTGAGGTGATGTCAAGTGCAAGATTTGTTCAAATGTAATTTGTATGAGATGTTTGATACAAACTACAAAAGATACCATTTACAAAATAAAACAAAACTTTCTAATTTTCTTTAAATAAATACTTTATTATAATAGTTTAAAGATAAAAAATGACAATCAGTTGGAACGCAGCCTGTGCAAGCAGAAGCACCGTTTAAAAGAGGCAATGAGGTCCTTTCTGAATCTGACGTTGAGTATACTATAAATAAATGGATTCGCAGCACTGTTAATCATGTAGGACCTCACCAACAAGTTGTATATGATTTCCGTCGAGTCAAACGAATGACTTTCCGTAAATGCCATTTTGAGCATTTTCAAAGTCCGCACTGTTAAATGAGGTAGGAAACCCAGAATGAATACAACAGTTACTGAGTAGAACATCACAGTTGATCCTTGGACTTTCGGTTTGCTGCGTCTAATGGCGTAACCTAAACTGGATTTTCGTACATTATTCCTTTTTATTGGTTTACCATCAGTCAAGCTCTTTCCTTCATTGGTACTAGACAGAAACATTAGTCCTCCTTTATTTACAGACCCCCGGCGACGGCGATAAAGCTTCAAACCAATCAGAATATAGATCACAATCAGAGTTATCAAGGCGCTTACAAAAGTACCTATCAAACACACAGTATATATATTGTCGCTCATAAATCCATCATAATCATTTCTGAATGTCGTACATTCTGTAGCAGTCACGTTTGTATTGATGCCGTCCACTAAAATATCGAATGTTTCTATTCCTGCGAAAATGAGTACAGGCCAGGAAAATAACGTGGCTACTATGACGCAAGCCAGTGCAAGTTTCTTTGCCCTGCTCGGTGTTATAATGCGCTTGGAAGCCTTGACTAGGTTCACGTACCGATCAACAGATACGGAGAGAAGAATAAATCCAGATGATAATACAAGTGAAGTCTCGAAAAACCGGAACACTTTGCAAACTTCACTTGACCGGAAATAATGTTGATTTCTCATGTCATAAATTTCGAACGGCATGACGAGAACACAATTCAATATATCAAAGATTGCTAGAGTCAGAATAAATACTCTCTTTGTTGTTTTTCTCTTTTTAATCGTTGGTGAATTATACACGTAGCAGACTAAAGAATTACCAGTAAATCCTAATAAAATCAGAACTCCAACGACGATCATCACCGGAAGTAGGAGCATCGCATTCTGGTTATTTCTCTCAATAATGAATGCGCTGATATCAAATTCATTTGTGACATTGCTGTTGTTTGATGAATTTGCCAGAACGGCGAAAGGATTGTATTGTCCAGCCATCTCTTTTGTTATTGTTCTCTAAAAGTGTTTCACTCACAAAATCCAACGAAATGTTAAATGACTACTTCCTATGTGATCATCCTACACTCAACATCATTATCGTTGTCATAGTAACACTCCGTCCGGTTTCCGGCGGCTAACGAAAGTCCTACTTTTGCTGGCGTCAGATAGATACCTACAACATACACAAAAAGATAATTGAACTTATGTATACACATATCTGTCTATATCACAGGTTGCTTATACGAAAATATGTATGCATCATGCAAATGATAATTTACACAAACAGATGTATGTAGTAATATCAACAGCTAACCGTGGGTTTCCTTCCAAACGAGAGTTTTTGTGATATATTTTGGTATACATTTACATGAAACATCCTAGTAATATTTCCCATCTGTTTTCTTCAGTGTTATTTGCCTTGTACGTTTGGTAAGTGTGATAGAAGATGTAAAAAAATAATCCTCACTTCGATAACATCATGTTACACAGCTAAACACACGTGTTAATTAAGTAGGGTTAGCTGATGTCAAACATTCTGAACAGACTGGCAGACAGATCGGTTCGACAGGGATAACCTACACCACACGACCATTACAAGAGTGTTTCTAATTATAAATACTTTCATTCATTCAAGGATTAAAGGTCTCTTCAAAGTGTTATTGTGTTAAGACCGCATTTAAAATACTTCGCTCACTTTGTATTGTTTATCATATCTTAATGAGGAGTTTAAAGTAAAAATGTTCAAACTGAACATTTGTCATGGCGTGGAAGATTTTTCTAACGAAATTGGAAAAAAATCTATGTTACTATATATAATCAACGATGACAAATCTTTTGTCATCTTACCTGTTGTTCTTACACCTACTAAACAGAAATCTACATCACAAAAAGTACATCACGAAATAAACCTCTTCATATACGCCCATTGATAACTATTGTAGATTGCATACTGAAAGTGACACCTCTTTACATGTTTACTCGAGCTTGAAACTTAATAATAGTTTAGATGGTGATGATAGTTATTTGACCTGAATAGGGTGGCTATATCTACATGGTTGTGTAGTAATGATAAAACCTCCCCAGTGACAAAATTTCCTTCAATCTGGAAATACATTGGAAACAGAAAAGGAAAGCTCATTGAATGTCGTGATAATTATAATGTTTGAAATTAATCTTATGACAGGTATAAAATATCAATGACTGGGGATATATATTTCAAATTATTCACAATATGATAAGAAATTTTAAAACAAACACAGGGAAGTTTTACTTATAGAATGGTAGAGTTTTGAGTCACAAATATGTTGTAAATCAAAGTACGTCAATTTAAAATAATTTTAAAATAATATGATTTAATTTTAATCATCTTCTGCATTGGACGAGAATACGGCATCCGTAGCGTGTCGCTTGTTTACATATTAAGATTATCTATAACCTGACTCATTGTTTTACCGAGGCCAAACAAATGGTGATTGTAAATATGCATAAACATTAAATCGTGCACACCCAACTGCGTGTCAAATAATTTATTAGGAAGTGCGGTCAAACTAAATGTTACCACAGTATGAGTAATGATAAAACACCTGCTTATACACAGTACAAAGTCCAGCTACTGTAGATACAGATATACACGACTCATTGTGACAATTTATAGAGTAGATAATATAAAAACCTATAAGATATTTAGATAAAAGGAGCAAATGTTCTCATGTATATTCATAAACTTTACATTTTTAAAATATTTTTTTACTATAAAAGTAATAATGAAATTAGAAACAACTGTTTTGGTGCCGATAACTCTATTTCTAACAATGTTTCCTGACGAAAAATTAATTATGAAGACATTTTCTTAACGATATCTTTACAAAAGATTAACTGAATTTGAACTACCAAACATTTATAAATGTTTAAAACAAAATATTCTGTATTTAGATATAAATGCTATAACTTAGCGTACATAGGTAATTAGCCGACCAAATTCGATAATAACACATGAACTCTATATATATATATCAATATTATCAAAGACTTGAATGTTTTTAACATTCCGACATAATATTTCCCTGTAAGACGATCCCTTTCAATAAGGTGAACACGTGTATCGGGTGTGACTAATTACCAGATAAAATACCCAGGAAACATACCTACCACACAGATACAGTATAGATCTCACTGTTCGATTTCCTTGTTACCTAAAGTTATAAAACATTACATATTTGAACAATGACTCACAGCACCCAAGAAACATCACATTATTGACAACAGCAGTCGACTTTATACTCGGTTCAGTAGAATGAATTATTAACTATCCTTGTCAGGTTGGCACCATTCTACCAGTCTGCGACAAAATCTATCTATATAAAGATTAGTCAAAGGAAATTTCTGAAGTGGAAATAAGGCATGGTGAACTGGTGTTATGATAAAAGTGTGACAAGGACAACTACACTACTGTGTTGTACAAACACCGATTAGCCAGTTAAGTTGAACGATAGATCACAAAAGGTTACGATAACAGAGATACGAAATAAAAATCTTCGTGTACTGTTCATATTCCGCCCGCTGTTAGAGTACATACGTTATGTCGTATTTGACATAACCTGGATACCGTAAAGCATTCGATATAGTACACCTTTATTTCGATGTGTACCAGAAAACACCGCGGTGTCTAAATTTAAATCGTTTCCACAATATCTATCGCTAAACACCCATAACCTGATAGGATAGCTACCCATAATGTAATGTATTCATGTGTGTAAAAAGAGTGTACTATCACACACATACATAACAACTGTACGCTTTCAAAGACCGTACCTAAAAATAATAATTAATTAATTTCATGATCAGTGTTTTCACTTGTCAAAAGAGATATAATTGTCAAGTGAGGTGTAATACAGTGTTTCCTTGTCTGTGTTATCGGGTACAAATTTCAATTTTACCTCCATATCACAACACACCTGTTCACGTTGTTTATATTTGTGTGAAAATCCGAACAGACCTTTGTGTCTACGTGTGAAACATCACCAATACATACCGTGTAGAATATCCTGGCAGGTCACCTCCAGCGAGATTAAAATTTAAATATGTTAGTCTATATATCAGTTTGTATTACACTATCCACGGACGATCACTTCAGTCAACATTTGTCGATGATGGCCTATATACGTTGAAATGAAGTAAGTGGCGTATGAACTGCCTTAAAAAGAAACTAGAGTATGTGGTTTACAAACAGGAACCTACACTCATGACAGTGCCCCCTGTCGGTCGTATAATAAAGAATATTGTACAGTCATTGGGAGCTATCCCATCTGGTCCTGTGGCTGACGCAAGCGTGGCATTGTTCTAGTTCAGTGACCAGATTAAAGCTAGGAAGAGGGAGGGCATGCACTTGTGTTGGGTTTAAAACAATTAATGGTTTTATGACCACACTTCAGCAGAAGTATATGTATAATAATTCTATTGTTAAGAATGTTGACGACACAAACTGAAGTAATTTTAAACGAAACCAGGAAACAGAAGAAAAGTAAAAAGAAAGAAAATGTGTTAAAGAAAAATAGAAGAAGAACCACCGACCCCACCCCATCCACCCTCTCCCCAAACCGCAACCTCCAACCCCTCGCCGCCCCCACACCACGCCTTAAAAAAACAAAAACAAAAACAAAACAAAAGCAAAACAAAAAAAAAAAAAAAAAAACAAACTAGACTGAATAAGGATAACCTCTCTCTTACTATTGAATATTTCATCTATTCATGAACTACTAGTCAATGGGAACTAATGTGATGTAAATTACACAACAATCAGTACATATACAGAATATCATAACAAAACACTGTAACTGACAATCAGCTGTAATGAACCAAGATGACGCAATAATGAATTATACAATATTTCACCATACTGGCCTACCTGGGTTATACTTTTCTGGTTTGCTGAAGCGTACTGGAGCGTTACGGTCAGTGATTCGTGACGTCTGCATTAACGTACCATTTGCCAGTTACATTTAGTTGGGAAACTAATTACACATGTGCCTTGGCGCACAGGAAATAAGCGTTGTTTATTCCGTCTAACATGAAATCGTGTATGACTTGTGTGCTACTCGTCCACTGGTATAATTTAAGAAATCCTAAATCTGTTTCAGACTAAGAGAGTCTTAATACCATCCCAGTCCATGAAATTCTGAAATCATCTTTCTTGTTATTTGTTTCTAGTATTGTGTCCATTCCCTGCAGCATGTATTCAGTTTTAACTTTGTAGTTTTGCCGCATAAAACAATATTGACATTGGAAGTGGTCAGATGAATTGAATTTGTTAAGCTGAAAACAGCCAAATTTATACAAAATATATGTAAAAAACATATGTTTATTTACTCTTTCGTAATTACCTAAGTATTAGCGGTTTTTCGTTATTAGTTTCTACTAAAGACCATTAAATCTCTATTTCCACCTCTCTGGAAATCGGGAAGTTTTGTTAGCCCTGTCTACTTCCGGTATAGCCCATAAATCTCGCGTTGATGTATCACAATTGTAATTTCAATGTTAAGATCTTGGACGATTCTTTAATCTTTGATTATTTCTGTTTGAAACAAAGAAACTTTAATTTTCTATTTCTTTGTGTGATATGAAGCTGGGCGTGGTTGATGTTTGTTAGTTTGCCTGTTGGTTCGTTCTTGTGTACTTGTGTTTTCATTTGAGAACGTGTCATTACTTACTTGGATTGACCAAGATTTACATGACGGGGGTCGTCGATGAGGCAGAAGACGCGTATTCTTCCGGAACACCTGTACTTTTGGGGAGTCTCCATGTAAATCTTTTGTTAAGGTTTTGTCCTAGTTTTATTGAATATTTTCATTGGATTATGAGTATGATCACATGGTATTTTTTGTTTGTTTTTTTGTTTTTTGTTTTTGTTTTTTGTTATTCTGGTACGTTATGGCATCTTAATACATCGACATATGAAATTCCCTCGTAAAAACTATTGATCCCACAAAAAGAAAATGCCTATGTCTAACTATGTCTAACCCGAAAGAGAGCATCATCACAATTATAGATATATAAAAGGCAACAAACAAAACAATAGCATACGACACATAAAAGTTTCCATGTATGTCCCTTGCTCTGTAAATCTTTAAACTTCAATTAAGTCCACTTAAACAAGGACGGTTTTATCTTTTATTGGTTTTCCACTTCTACATTCAAACATACTGTCCCTCATTCAATTATCGTAGGAGGAGACAAAATTAGGGTGCGTTATTTCTTTTCGAACTAGCTTTTCTTTTGCAACTCCTTGGCAAAACATTGCCTTTGCGTTACTTTTGAACATTCAGCCCAAGACAGGGAGCATGTGGATCCTGTCCTCTGACCTGAACAGCCTAAAATCTGTGGTATCTGACTGCTTGCAGAACTTTAGGACGGTATAGTCTGGTTTGTGTATGTTGTGACCATCTGATATGGAACACTACCATGTCCGGTCTATAACATTTCAGTATGATACAACGCGGCTAAACCAGTTTTTTCTCATACTCTTGTATATTTTCCATTTGTGTAGGAATACCTTTGAATATGAATTTTCAGAGAAGATGAATACTGACTAAATCGGAAGTTTCTTACACTATAGAACAAGCTTTCATAACTTAGCATAGGTATAAGGAGTGGATTCATGCACGTGTTTCCTCTGTATTACGTGTTAAACACTAGAGCCCATCATAAAAACGACAGATGTCCCGCTTGACATATAAAACTAGACTAGAGAGTTTCCGATGTAGGGACATCGCCGCCACGACATGATGTATATTATATCAATTGACTCAAAATTGATACTGAAGCGGCGGATGGGAAAAGCTCTTAATACCGGTGTAACGACCTGACTAGTCATTTTAAAATGTCCCTGTGTCCCTAAAAGTAGAGATAAAACAGACGTCCTTGTGTGCATCCCGTTATGTGATATTGCAAAACGTAACCTTTTTATCGTCTAGTGCACATCTGGACGAATGAGGAAAAGAATAAAGGGGAGTTTAGGATCAGGGAAGGAGTGGTATACGGTGGGGAATACATGGGTGAAATAAGTACAAGTGGAAGTGTGCATTAATTTGGAAAAGTGAGTGGAGATACACAACAGGGAAGGATACATAACAATGGATGCGGGATAGAAATGTATGGGAAATTGGCAAATATAATATTACAGTTGCAACATCGCTCCATTGAAAACTTTTCTCTCCTAAATTATGAATTTGATTTTCTGTCGAGTGACAAACCTTTTTTGCAGTATTATTATTATCTTTATTTCCTCCAAGTATGAAGATTTACAAAGACAACTATATAAACAGCAATAAATTACATAAATTTACACACGTACACACCAACACGAACATACATATATATACAGTTACAATATGTTTTGATAGTTAATTAGAGGTATTTCACTACTTTCAACACATTTTCAAGATATAGGGTTTTGGTACTTATATGTACCAGAAAAACAGATTACTGATAATAGTTTTTCAACATTTGACATACATATGAGATAGCGCCTAATCTGAAATGTTCCATTTTCTCTGAAGATAAATCATACTTTAATAGACTGCCTAACAGAGCATTAGTTAATTCGAAATCCGATAAGTTATGTATATGGACACTGAATTGAATATCTGACATGTTAATAACATAGCACCATAATTCGTCTCTAATGCATGCATTTGCATCACAATTTAGAACAATATGAGTTATAGAATCATTGTAAAATTTTCCACAAACATGACACAATTCCGTATTGGTAGACCTGCGAGAGGTCACACACCATCTTAAAATACAATGTATAGATCTAGAGTACTGAGGATATTTTGCAGCAAGTTTCCATAAGCAATGTGACTCTAGCTTGTTATGAATCGACGCGAACCGGAAGAAGTCACTGTCATTTGACATTCTTTGTTTCAATTCATTTTCTTCAAATATATATACGTACTTATTTACCAATGTTTTCCACTGTCGTTTACCAGGTAACGAGTCCGTTCTTCTACAATCTGAAAAAATACCATACAATGTAAACTTTCGAAGGATCCGTACAATATCTGGTATGAACCCACTTTGTTTTGCAGTACTCGTATTAAACATAAAAAATCTAGTGGCAAATATTTTATATACCAAAGTGCTAATGTTCATACTATATATTCGCCTCAAAAATAGTAACTTTCTTATATCAATATAAGCCTCAACAGATGTCCAACCTAATAATGAGTTACACATATCGGTTCTCGTCCTTTTTTCAAAACCTTGGATGGATTTAACAATAAAATTTTGTGCTCTTTCTAACATGGCTATTTCAGCTTTTGAGAGTATCCATAGTTCACAACCATACAACGCAGACGGATACACTTTAATCTAAACCAGTTTAGCTACAGTAAGAGGGTTAAGTGCACTGGGGTGAGCACCAGATTTAAGGAGAGACATGGTACCAGATTTTAAATTGTTGCAAGCTCTTTCTGTTCTTTCAGTTGAATTACATCTACCGTTTAACAGTATACCTACATGTCTAATTTCACTAACTGCTGGCAGAACACAATTGTACAGGTAAACATTTGGTATATTATATGGATTGCATTTCTTTGAGAAACATACTATTTTACTTTTTGTAGAAGAGAAGGTAAATCTCCACTTTTTGCTATAATGTTCACACATGCTGACCATTTGTTGAAGACTTCGATGATTCGTGCTCACTAAACATATATCGTCTGCTTGAGTTGGTATATTAACTTTAAGGTCAGTAATCATTAGAGAGGTGAGGAGTTCAATGGATGCGGGATAGAAATGTATGGGAAATTGGCAAATATAATATTACAGTTGCAACATCGCTCCATTGAAAACTTTTCTCCCCTAAATTATGAGTTTGATTTTCTGTCGAGTGACAAACCTTTTTTGCAGTATAGTTCATAACGCCATGATCACATGACTATCGAGAAGTTATTTCATGCATGGCGGCCTGGTTTAGCATGACATTGATTTAACATGGCATTATGAGTTGAAGTCAGAATTCCGATATCTCTAAAGGTAAACTATGGTTTGTAATAAATATCCAAAAGATCCAGATAGCATATGTCTTACTTTACACCAGAGTATTGTAAACATAAACAGCAATTTAAGATTTCTAAAGGTC